CCCCAAAACCCCAAAACCCCAAAACCCCAAAACCCCATAGTATTTTAAATATTTTCGCTAGATTATTAATTTTCATGGAATCTTTCAAGAAATTTAGCCTGTTTACCCTCCCTAAATATTGAAGAACCTCTCTTCAGCCAGTTAAAGAGTTTCATGAGTTAATTGGACGCCCTGGGTTGAAGTACAAGACTATCCATGTCACTGGTACTAACGGAAAAGGAACTGTTTGTAACAAGATAGCAAAGATTTTGAGTCAAGCAGGATTTCGGACAGGCCTATTCACATCTCCCCATCTTGTCAAGTTTAATGAGAGAATTTGAATCTCAGGAGAGCAAATTTGTAATAATTTTCCTTAATTTGTGTAGCGGACGAAGACCTGTTTGAGATAGAGCATGACTTAATGGAAAAATATCATGCACTCCCGGAACCACAATTAGTTGTGTTTGATATGATCACAATGATAGCTTTAAAATATTTTGAAATTCAGAAAGTGGATTTTGCTGTTCTTGAAGTCGGAATTGGAGGAGATCTTGATTCAACCAACATAGTTAAACCAGAATGATCAGTCATTAGTAAGCCTACTTACTCACTATGCTAGCTTCAATTGGCCTTGACCATAGGGATATACTCGGCAATACAAAAGAGGAGATCTCCCAAGCAAAATGAGGAATATTTAAGGAAAATACTCCAATAGTGATTGGGTCTGACTGACCTCAAGAGCATATGGTTAATTTCTTGAAAGAGAATCTTGAAGCAGATGATAGCCTTATTCATCTCATTGGTACAGTTAGAAGCATAATTATGTTTAGACTCAAAACCAAACAGCATAGAAGAGGAAAATCAAGAAATCGCAAGAAGAGTTGTAAATATTTTGAAAGATAGAGATTTTCAAATATCTGATTCTGCAATAAAACAGGGCTTGCTTGAGAAAGTTCCTGGCAGATTTCAGCAATTCTCTAAGAATATATTTTATGATGGAGCGCACAATCCTGATGGAATTAGAAAGTCAATCAGCAGTGTGTTTAATTTACTCCCGAAAGATTTTGATAGGAATGTAACAGTTGTTTGTGGGTTTACCAGAGAAGCTAACTTAGATGAAAATATATCAGCTGTACTTGAAAATGAGAATATTGATAAAATAGACACTATCTATTTTTGTGAAAATAGCCCTGGAGAACCAGAGATGATAAATTTTCAGCCTAGTTGTATTAAATTAGATAAGATTGAATCCCTTCTAGGCGATATGGTTCACGAAAAATTGAAAGTTCTGTCGAAATCAGCTGAAGGAGAATTTGAGTCTATAGAACTTCACTCTCTCACTGATAAAACCACATTAATAAGTCATTTAGAAGATGTCCTGACATATCTTCAGAACGATCCTAAATTTCAAGAAAACTACATCTTTGTGTTCGGTACATTCAGGCTGTACAAGGATCTTTATGAATATTCTCAGATGAACCAATAAAATATTCCAATCAATTTGGAGGAATTAAATAGGGGTTTTGGGGTTTTGGGGTTTTGGGGTTTTGGGG